GTTTAGGGGCCCCCAAAAAATTTTAAAGGATTTTTTGGGGTCATTTTAAAGGATTTTTTAAGTCATTTTTAGGCTCTGGCCCATAAAAAGGCCTCCAAAAACAAAAATAGCCGCGGGCCCCAAGAAATCTTAATCCGCCACTGGCTTTAAGTTACATAGACCGTTAAAAACAATTATTAATGGGTTATTCATATAACAAAACGTAAAACATAAGGTATTATAAGTTTTAAATTAAAAATAAATGTTTAAACATTCATATCTCTAAAGAGAGGTTTCGTATTCGAAAAACAATTTGAAAAAACGCGCGCATTGCATGTTTCTGATAGTGATAGAGGCGTCATAATTTACTTTTACTTGAACTTCTCCAGGCAATATTTGCATAGTTTATATAACTATGAATAAATGAGCAGTATAGTTGTTTTAAACTATTTTTATTTAATTAATTTTTAGCCTTATACAGGACTCCAAATTTTTATGCAATTTTTGTTGATATATAATAAATATGGTATTTAACTTGGTATATAACTTGATTTTCATCAATCATCATATGATCATCATCTTATGGCAAAAGACGTTTTTTTTGTTTTAGAATGGAAAAGAGTCCGTTTTGTTTTGTCAATATTTAAGGTTAACTTGATGCTCAAAAGCTTTATTTAAGTCATTAATATACACTAAAAAAGGAGTTGACTGATGATAGAACCCTGTGCAGCGCAACATTTTATTTTAATTAACATTTTATTTTCAAGACTAAGATTTTGAAGACTAAGTTCATACCCCTAGTAGACGAATTTCTTCTTATTAGGCAAGTTGCTTTGTTCCACTTTTATATTTAGCACTATTTCCGTAGAATTCATGATTTTTAAGTAAAATGTCGTAACTGGCTGTATCAAAAGCTTTTAATAAATCAATAAAAACATCAAATGTATGTTGTGAACAAAAGACTTTGAGGCTTCACGTGTTAACTGAATAATAGCTTGTTAAGTTTAACTATTTTTTTTAAAGCTATATGTAGAGAAGACAGAAATAGGGAGATAATTATTAACATTAGATTTTTCGCCGTCTTAGTGAATCGGGATAATTTTGGCAATTTTTTAGTTGATCAGGAAAAACCCCTTGTTGCATAGATACTTTGTAAACTTTAAAAAGAATATCTTTCAACTTTTCATAGCAGTCTATAATTATATTTCCGTTTATTCCGCCGCGCCGATTGATTTACTTTTTTAGTGATTTAAAGGCTCTTTCAAACTTTTTTTTTTTTTCAAAAAGATTTCTTTCAAACTCTTAAATTGATAAATCTAGCAATTAATCATGTTGGAAAAGTGAATTGTTGGTAGATTATTGAATTGAATGAAATATCAGTAGAAGGAATCCTATCAGCAAGTTTGCTTCCAATATCAGTAAAGTATTTATTGAATTTCATTCGGTTCACATAAAGCGTGTACACGAAATAAATGTGAAAGAGTAAACACGTCATTTTTTTAGTTGTGTTTTTATTTTGTTGGCAACATATAACAATTTCAAAAAAAATGTTTTAGTTTTACCATCTAACTTAAAATATGTATTAAAAATGACAAAAGAAGAAAATATTAGAAAAAAATATTTGGAAAATCCGAATACAAGCTACAATTTAATAGCAGGAAAGTTGCAAATGAATCCCTACACCGTTAGTCATGTTATTTATCGTTTTTCCTAAACCAAATCGAATAAATGCAAATCTGGTAGTTGTGGAAAAGAGGTTTTTCAAGATATAAAACTGGTTAGAAAACTAGTTAACAGTTTTATTAATAATCCAAACCTCTCACTAAGGGAACGCGCAAAAAGAATTTTCTCATAGTTTGGTTGTAAAAGTTCAAAATAAACATGTTTTTTAAGCTTTTAAATCACAAAAGGGCCTAACCGTTCTAAAATTCAAAATAAAAGTGCAAGAACCCGCTGAAGAAAGTTATATAAGTATATTTCTGAAATTTTCTAAATTATCAAAGATTATAAAATTTATATATAGAGGAAAAGCATGATAAGTTTGCTAAAAATGTTTTGATTTAACAAGCTATTTGCAGATATGACAAAAAATTAGCACTCTACATTTCTGATTCCACACCTTCTGGTTAAATGCATATTAAAGAGTGTTTACAAAAACGTCATTTACCTATTACTAAATCATATAATAGTAAATATGTTTTCGCCTGATTTATCATCATGTCATTATAGAACTATGGCTATGGGATGGTACAAACAAAACGGCGTGAAAGTTATGCCAAAATAACAAATTCTCCAAACTGTCCAGAATTGAAAATTATTGCAAAGCAATGGGTAAGTATTAATTGAAAAATGAAAAAAAAAAGCTATGCAGAAGCGATAAAGATACTTTTTAAATTTTATATAAAAAGTATCAAACAGTTTTGATTCTTGTTCTGTGCGCACACCACCAAAACAAAAGTTCGAAATTTTATTTTATGCTTACAGGAATAAAATAATTTCTTTGAAATATTTTATCTTTTTTTATTAATGTATTAAAATTAATACTTAGTTCTAAATAAAAATTGTTGATGAGTACCTTTGTTTATAGGGTGCCTAGATACCTTTAACAATTTTCAAAATAACGTTTATTTCTATAATAAAACATCGTATTTACTGTTAGACAGTATTTGATTCAGCAAATTTTAGTCATTTATTTTAAATTGAAGCAAGTATTTCACGGTTTTAACTTTCAATTGATTTCGATTGTCAGTTCACTGTTTTTTGCATAAGGAAAATACTCTTTCCACAGCCGCGTTTGATGTAGGAATCGATAATATTACGCTTACTAGACTTTTAAAATCAACAAGGTTTTTGCTTCAAAACAAAGTAGACTATTTTTTATCAATCAGCAAATTCTTTAATTTATCAGAAGAAGCTTCCATTAATGAGTTTAACTCATTTGTTTCATAAAACAACGAATCTTTTATGGCAATATCTGGCAATAAATACTCAGCCAACTTTTGAACTCCGTCATACCTAATATTACCTTTTAACACCAACCAATCACTTGAACAAGGATACTTATCTAAGCAGATTCACTTTTCAATATAGTTAATCGCCGCTGTATTAAAGTCAATGAATTCACTTTTAAGTTGATTGGCCTTATACGCATTATCTAAACCTATTAGTTTAGAAATTGTAATGACACCAAAAAAGTTTTGCTGAAGTCTTTTATGCATCTTTTCTTTAAAATTAGTAACAACATCAACAAAAAACTGCCCTATTTGAGCTGTTGACTTCTTGGATTTTGAATTTTCATCATAAAGTTTAGTACTGTAATGACTAGAAATTGCTGTGACGCCTGTAATTTATTACATTCTTGTACTTCCAATATCAATGTCTGATGAACAATATGAACAGAATGTGAAAGAATCTCCCTTTCTACTCTTTTTAATACTATCCAAATCTTTAGAATATTCTTCTCGATAGAGTATCTTACTCTTTTTTGCCATTACTTTATAACCACAACATAAACCACATAGAACATTTCAAAACGAAATTCCCAAGAGGCTTAGAAAACGTGATTATCAACACTTTCATTAGTCATTAGGTGATTCTGAGCACGTGCGTTTAACTTTTATTATAATGTGAGCCCCTAATTATTTTCCGACGAATATTAGGCGAGATTTACAACACCTTTAAGGTTCACACAGCAAATAGTTTAACACGTCATTTATTTCTTGAGTTCTCTCACGAATTTATAGTTAGTTCTAAATTGCCTAAAACCTTTCTCGAGCTTGAAAGCTTGATTACCTTAAAATTTTAAAAAAGTTCAGGACAAATAAGGACGGGAATCTGAATTTCAGGACAAAATCAGGACATTTTTAGAATCAGGGCAAGCTTTTAAAAAGTCAGAATAATCCTGATAAAATCAGGATATCTCAGTACCCTAGTTATTTAGTTGTTTTTCTACTTTCACACTTAGGGGAGAATGGGGTAATGGTAAGCGCGGGGTAACTCAGAATATGGTCAAAACAGCATTTTAGAAAAATAAATTTGACAATTTCTTTTTACCTGCTGAGAAGGGATCCCATGCTCAGTTCCAGACGTGCAGTAGCATAGTGATATTTTTATGCAACTATTTTTTTGAGTAGCATTCTGTTGTAGCTTCTATGGAAATAAAGGTAAATAAGGTATTGGATATTTTTGGATTTTATTCCCAGCGTTCCCTGCGATGGTCCCAGCGATCCCTGCGATGTTCCCAGCGTTCCCTGCGATGGTCACGAGGTAAACTTTTTCAGATTATTACTTTTTCTTCTATTTTTTCCAAAAATGTATAAAAATTAAAAAACAATTTTGATAACGTAACTCTTATAAAAATAAAAGTAACAAAAATTAAATTTCAAAAAATTTAATCGCAATTATTTTTTTTATTATTAATTCAATTTTAAAACAAGAAATAAAATTTAAAATGTAAAAACCGCCTCATAACTTTTTTGCTGGTACTATTGCAGTCATTTTAAACTTTTTTTTTTTTAACGCAACTCCTAAAGAGCAAATAGAAAACAAAGTAAAAACAAAAAAAATTTAATAACAGATATGCTTTTTCTGATAAAAAAAAATTTTTTTTGGGTCCTCTTTTGGGCCTTTATAAATCAAACCACGCGTCAAAATTTTTTATTAACAACAGATTCAGAACGTTAACATTTTAATTAAGTAGAAAAACAAAAAATTATCAATTTTGTTGCGCACTCTATTTAATCTTTCAAAACTAAATAAATTTGAAAGAAGGAACCAACTTAAAAAATGTCTGCCATTATTCTATTATGTTGTTGTTTTGTCATTTTATAATAGCTAAAAATGAGAGCTAAGCAAAATGTATTTATTATTCTTAAAACCGTATTAACGAGGAAAATGGAAGTTTAGAAAGCCACGTCATCTATTAAACTCAATTATGTGCTTATGTTATTATGTTTAAAAGATTATGATAATCTTTTAAACAAGTCAATATTCAAATTTTCGAAATAAAAGTTCAGGTAAAAATGATAAACGAAGAAACGTGCTATGAAATTTTTATACCGCTCCAACGTTACAGTAATACCAAGCTTGAAAACGATTATTTTTTTGAAGTACCTTTAGAAGAAAAAACTGACATTGAACTAAGTCATGGAATCGAAATGTCTAATAATTGTGAAAATAATAAAATTCAACCTTTAAAGGTTACGAACAATGCAATATTAGATAAAGAAAGTGTTTTTGCTGACAATTTCGGAAGCTTTTTTTACAAATTTGCCGGACCAGATGAAGCAATAGATTCATTTAAGTTGCAAAATTTATTGTCTATAATATTTAAACAGAAAGGCATTCAATTTAACCTGGAAACTAGTCGATGTATTCTTGCATCGGCAGATTCTAACAGAGATGGAAAACTTAGTTATTACGAGTTTAAAAGGCTTTGGTTTAACCTCATGAAATGGAAAAAATGCTTCAAGGAATTTGATTTAAACAAAGACAAAATGATTAATAAATCTGAGTTGAAACTTTGTTTTGAATCGCTCGGATTTATTGTTGAAAATGGAACAATAGATCTGATTGTAGCGCGATATGCAGATAAGCAAGATCAAATTAGATTGGACGACTTTATACAAATTTTGTGCAAACTTACTTCAGTTAATCGATGGATAAAACACTTCAATAGAAAAGGCAATTTAGATGCATTTATGAAAGAAGTCTTGTATTTTTGATTATTTAAACTAATTATTAAGTAAAAAATTTATAAACTAAGTAAGAGCGAAAAAGGCATTAACTAAGATTAAAATACCAAAAGCAAATAATAAAATTTTTTTTGGTTCAATTTTTTTTTTCATTAAAAAACACTTTTAATTAACACAAATTTTTTAATTAAATTACCAGTGTTTTCTTCTACGTGTAGATCGGAATGTTTCATCACAGTTTTTTTTTTCAGTTTTTTTTTCACTTTAATTAAAATGTTTGTGAGAGTATTTTTTTGTTTTGCAATAAAAAAAATTTTTTATTAAACAAGCATACTTTTTATAGCATCACGATTACAAGTCTGCCTTACAGAAAAAAATTGACCTTTACATTTTATTTTAATAATAAATTTGGTTTTTAAGAAACTAGCACTAGAAGCATTAAATCTAAAGAAACTTTATAGTACAAATTTCCTTTTCAGTAAGAAATATTAATTTTATTAAGAGTTCGAGGAATATTTTCTAATTTTTCAGCTAAATACCAAATCAAAATAAAACAAAAGTTAAAAATCATTACAACGGAACAACAGTTGAAATAATACCAGTTGAAATAATAGTATTTAACTTGCACGTAAATATATATATATATATATATATATATATATATATATATATATATATTTAAACTGTTTAATATATATTATATATATATATACATATATATATATATATATATATATATATATATATATATATATATATATATATATATATATATATATATATATATATATATATATATATATATATATATATATATATATATATATATATATATATATATATATATATATATATATATATATATATATATATATAGAGAGAGAGAGAGAGAGAGAGAGAGAGAGAGAGGAAAGTCGGGTAGCCCCGGACACTACAGGAATAAGTAGTATATTGCACAAACGCTAACTAAAATCATAGTGCCAAATGATTTTTATAAAAGTAGAAATATCTATTTATCAAATTGAAAGCAAAAAAATAGTTACAGTGCACTTTAATATTACGCAAAACATAAAAATAAAAATGTATGAAAACGAGCATCTGAAAAAATTGGAGGGTAGCTTTCTTTTTAAATCATTAGGCACGTACTTAATATATTATTTAACTAACATGTTACCACGGACATTCCAGTTATAATAGTTATATGCAAGATTAGTATTAAAACAACTTTTATGTAACTGTTTCTACAGTTTTATTGCTCTTTTATAAATTCAGAATTAATGTCATTCAAGCCTGTGCAAAATTATAGGACCTTGATAACTAAAGGATTTTTTTGAAGTTCCTAATACCTTTAAAAACAATTGCCATTAGTCTATTTAATGATGAAAAGGAATGGGATTAAAACAAGGATTTTATAAACAACATCAATTTGAACTAATTTACTTTATTCGAAACACATTATTGTAACTACAATTACCTTTATTGGAAATTAAACAAAAATAACTAATTAAAATTTGTTAAAAAACTGATAAAAAATATCCACCAGTAAATCAAAAAATAAATTTCCCAAATAAACACTTCATACTTAAGATAATTTATTTTTTTAACACGATACAAACGTACAAATCATAATAGCCAGAGGTAGGATTTAACTCTACACAATTTTCATGCGCCTAATCTTTACATGTAAAGCACTGAATCCAGTCTTCATCAAAATTTTCTTCACATATTATACATTTGGTTTTGTTTTCAGGACTTTTAAACAAATAAATAGCTTTTTTTTTTTTTTTTCCAATTTTTTTTTCAGATTTATTTCTCTTATTGATTGAGTGAGTTTTAGAAGCGGCCGTGGCTCAGTAGTATGTGTTTCATCAAAGGCATTAACTAAGATTAAAATACCAAAAGCAAATAATAAAATTTTTTTGGTTTCAATTTTTTTTTTCATTAAAAAACACTTTTTTTAATTAACACAAATTTTTTAATTAAATTACCAGTGTTTTCTTCTACGTGTAGATCGGAATGTTTCATCACAGTTTTTTTTTTCAGTTTTTTTTTCACTTTAAATAAAATGTTTGTGAGAGTATTTTTTTGTTTTGCAATAAAATTTTTTTTTTATTAAACAAGCATACTTTTTATAGCATCACGATTACAAGTCTGCCTTACAGAAAAAAAATTGACCTTTACATTTTATTTTAATAATAAATTTGGTTTTTAAGAAACTAGCACTAGAAGCATCAAAATCTAAAGAAACTTTATAGTACAAAGTTCCTTTTCAGTAAGAAATATTAATTTTATTAAGAGTTCGAGGAATATTTTCTAATTTTTCAGCTAAATACCAAATCAAAATAAAACAAAAGTTAAAAATCATTACAACGGAACAACAGTTGAAATAATAACAGTTGAAATAATAGTATTTAACTTGCACGTAAATATATATATATATATATATATATATATATATATATATATATATATATATATATATATATATATATATATATATATATATATATATATATATATATATATATATATATATGTATATATATATATATATATCTATATATATATATATATATATATATATATATATACATATATATATATATAAACTGTTTAATATATATATTATATATATATATATATATATATATATATATATATATATATATATATATATATATATAAATTAGTAGAAAATGACTTAGCAAAATTTTTTCTCATTTTGCTAAGTGATTTTCTACTAATTTGTAATTGCTCTGTTCTTTTAAGAATATTGAGCACTCTTTTTGTAGAATACATTTTAAATTGTTTAAATATATATATATATATATATATATATATATATATATATATATATATATATATATATATATATATATATATATATATATATATATATATATATATATATATATATATATATATATATATATATATATATATATATATATATATATATATATATATATATATATATATATATATATATATATATATATATATATATATATATATATATATATATATTAGGCCATTAGGAACAAAAACTATATTAGGGAGCAGTGGTGTAGAACTTTTTTCTTTTAGTCATTTTTCTCCACAAAAAAAAATATATATATTTATATACACTTGCTTTTATATTAACAAAAATCTCATTTTTAGTTTTCTCTATATTTTTTATACTTTAGAAACTAAGAAAATAGTCTAGTACTAAAAAGATTTTTATTTTAAGGGTTCTATTTTCCAGGGGCATATCTGGAACGTCTAGTAAGGTGGGTGGGGAGGGCAACGTTTAGAGTTTTTTTGGTTTGGTGGATTTAGATCACCTATTAATAGTGGGGAGTGGGGTTGGTATCAATGTTTAGGAGCGAAAATTTGTTTATTCCAATTTTATTAAAATATCATTTTTAAATACCCTATTTAAATTACTTCCTTTTTTTTAAAACAACATATGCTAAGTTTATAGATATGTAAAAATAACTTTTTTTTAATTTAATCTAATAGGGGACAATTTCCCCCTTCGCTTCCCTATCGATCTGCCACTGGTATTTTCCCAATCTTGTACTAAAAGTTTCTTAAGAGTTTCTTACGTTAGTTAACTTAATAAAGATATTTCATTCGCAATTGAATGGAATTCCGTTCAATTGAGTGTGCAAATTAAATACTATTATTTCAACTGTTATTATTTCAACTGTTGTTCCGTTGTAATGATTTTTAACTTTTGTGTTATTTTGATTTGGTATTTAGCTGAAAAATTAGAAAATATCCCTTGAAATCTTAATAAAATTAATATCTCTTACTGAAAAGGAACTTTGTACTATAAAGTTTCTTTAGATTTTGATGCTTCTAGTGCTAGTTTCTTAAAAACCAAATTTATTATTAAAAAAAAAGTGTAAAGGTCAATTTTTTTCTGTAAGGCAGACTTGTAGAATACATTTTAAATTGTTTAAACAGGGTTGGAAAAAATCACGATTTTTTTAAAAAAATCAAAAAAATCAGATTTTTTTGATTTAAATCAGATTTTTTTGATTTAAATAAAATATTTTTTGATTAACTTTTAATATAATTTAAAGTAATATGAAATTGGTTGACTGTGTTTTTTTTGTACATAATGCAGTGGTCAAACAGGTCAAAAGTATACTCAGGATTCTAAAATCATTTCTTTTAACCTTATACCTCCACAAAACTATCCACACTATGCGATTGTATAAAGATTTTCTGGATATTTGTTATATTAAGTTTAGATAGTATTAAGTTTTTTCTTAAATATTGTTGATATAATTTAATATTGACTGTTTGTCAAAATTTTTGTCAAAAAATATTACTCTTAAATGGTTTAAAACTCTAGCTATATTTTTGCAGAAACAAAAATATTTTAAACATACTAAACAAAAACAAAAAAATATGTCTGGAAGAAGATCTAACTTAGTGTGGTCCAAATTTGAAAAGCTTGAAACAAAAAGTGGGAAGGGATGTAAAGCAAGATGTAGGATATGCAAAAAAGAACTGCAGGGTCTGGTGGCAAGAATGAAAGTACACTTAAATAAATGTTGTCACGAAAATAATACAGAAGGTGATATAATGAACACTTAATAATAATTAATTTTTTTTTTTTAATTAGTATTATTTAATTCAAAGTATTTTTTTAGAAATTGAATTTCAAACTACTTCTTCCAATATTCAATTTGATGTTACAAAGCAACCCTCAGAATCATCTGTTTTAGCAGAAAAATGTTATTTAAATGTATCAGCAAAAAAATCACGGACTGAAAATATAAATAATAATGGTCCAATAAATAAAAATATAAGTTCTGGATTATTGTCACATGTTGTTAGAACAAGTCAGAGTCAAAAGGCCGTATTTGATGAGCAGATTGCAAGAATGATTTTTGCAACAAATTCATCATTTCAATTTGTTGAACATCCAGAATTCCAAAAACTTATGTTGATGTTGAGGCCAGGCTTTAGTGGCCCAACAAGAAAGGACGTAGCTGACAAACTCCTAACAATAGTGTTTGATAAAGAAAAGGGTAACGTTAAAAACGCTCTAAATGGAGAGATTGTAAATATAGCACTGGATGGTTGGTCAAACGTTCATAAGGAGCCTATAATTTGTGTTACAGTTACAACTGAAACAAGTAATGTCTATTTAGCTGACACAATTGACACATCTGGAAGCCCGCACACTTCTGAATATCTTGAAGAACTAGCAGTTTCATCAATTAAAAATATAGAGCTTGAATTTGGGTGTCGTGTGGGAAGTATTGTGACTGACAATGCAGCTAATGTATCAAAAATGAGGCATAATATTGAATCTCGATCAGATATTGATGTAGTTACATATGGTTGCTCTGCACATTTAATGAATTTGTTAGCACATGACCTAGAAATTGACAATGTTAAAGATCATATAGTAAATATTGTCAAATATTTTAGGAACCACCATTTTGCTTTGGCAGAATATAGAAAAGCTGGTGGACAAAAACTTGTATTGCCTCAAGATACTCGCTGGAATACCATGTGTGACTGTCTAAAACTGTATATTGCAAATTGGTCAACTCTGCTAAAAATCTGTGAGTCTAATCGGGCCATAATTGACACTACAGTGCAACAAAATGTCTCTAACTTAGTCATTAAGAGTTCTGCAGAAGATCTACTTGCTCGCTTAGAACCTATTGCTTTTGCACTTGATAAAGCACAAAGTGACAAATGCAAAATTGCAGATGTAGTGGAAGTATGGAAAAATCTAGAAAACAAACTTTTGTGTAAAAGTGAAAAAGTTATCCAAAATAAATTCAAAAAAAGATACGACAAGGCAGTGACACCATCCCATTTTCTGGCTAATCTTCTTCACCCTCATTACCAAGGTAGAAAATTGAATGAAATTGAAAAAAAAAATGCTTTGGAATATGCCAATCTACAATACCCACATATTATTCCTACAGTTATGAAATTTAGAGGAAAGTCATACCCATTCCTAAAATTTGAATTTAGATTAGAGGTTTTAACAGAATTATCGTCTGTTCAGTGGTGGAGATCACACCGCGATAACATTGAAAGTAAAACATTAAATACAATTTTGCAATTGATGACTGCGGTAGCTTCATCTGCAGGAGTTGAACGTGTGTTCTCCTCTTACGGCTTGGTACATCCAAAACTGAGAAATAGATTGGGTACAGAAAAAGCTGCTAAGCTTGTGTTTCTATTCAAGGCAATTAATCAGCAGAAAATTATTCAATTTGATGTTGGTGATTAATTTTAATGCTGCACACAGGATAAAATTTTTTTAGTTTTAATTGATAATTATGTTTATTAATTTGTTTTGTGCACTGTAGCATTACCTGTTTTATTTATTTTTATTGTATACTTTGAGTCATTATTTCTATAAATACATAGTTCTGTTACATTTAATTAGTTTTTTTTTTTAAATATGACAAAAATAGTTTTTAAATAAATTTTTATTATTCAAAAATCAAACATAAAAGAAAAACTTGATTTAAATCATTAGTCATCCAAAAAAATCTTTTGATTTAAATCTTGATTTAAATCGATGTGATTTAAATCAGCCAACCCTGATATATATATATATATATATATATATATATATATATATATATATATATATATATATATATATATATATATATATATATATATATATATATATATATATATATATATATATATATCGGAGCCGGTGATTTAAACTAAGATTTTCAAATAACAGTTTATAAGGTAGGCTCTCTTGTCAAACCCCTATTCCGACGTTGAGCGTCCTTTGCGTCCGCGAGCTTGAATTTCTACAAAATAGGCGAAATGGGGTATATAGGGATTTACGCTGCGGTGTGCACATACACCGACTGATTTTTAGAGAAAACATGCAGCGGAGTGTGGAAACAACGACTGAGGGTTTGGAGTAGGCAGGTTCTCTTTTAAATAAAAAAGTCGTTTTTTTACATTTTCGGACCTTGAGGACAGCGTCGGAATAACGGTTTGACAAGAGAGCCTACCAGTTTATAAGCAAACTTTAATAAATGTTTTGTCTTGAATCAAAAGTCTTAAATCTGATAGAAAACGCTGCGTTTTCACATTTTACGTTCGTTATAACTTCGTTATAACTTAACCAATTTGAGTTATCAGAATTTAAGAAAATCAATCGAAACAAATCCAACCTATCGAAGCAGGAGTCGAAGCACTATAACATATTATTTTATATACGCGTTTTGCTATATAATAATTCGATTTCAATAAAGTAAATTTGAAACTTTTGTTATACCTCCGATACACCTCCGTTACATCCCTAATATATATATATATATATATATATATATATATATATATATATATATATATATATATATATATATATATATATATATATATATATATATATATATATATATATATATATATATATATATATATATATATATATATATATATATATATATATATATATAATTTAGCACAACAAAATTGACGGTGTAAATAAATATACATATAACGACATAATTATTTGCATTGTTTTACATCATTGTACATTATAACAAATAGAATTACGAAAAAAATCTAAGCAATTAAAACGGAATTAAAAGTAAAAATTGTCATTCTGAAAAAAAAAAAAATCATTATAAAGAATTAGATTGCGAATTCATTGTATTTGCAAAATTTCTATGGGCATTTTGTCGGTCTATTATATGCAAATATTTTGCTAAAAACATTTACTGTTATAGAGCTTCGACTGATGAAATCTTTAAATTAATAAAGTTCCGGTAACCTCATGCGAGCACTTATCTAATAGAAAAAAGTAAACACACAGTTAAATTAGGAATGTTTTCTTGAAGCAACTGTTAGTCACATGAGATTATTTTTCATTTTTTTTAATATAGACTTTGATTTAGCTTTATATGACTTTATTTCAATTGTTTTAGATCTAAAACTTTTGATTTTTATATGCTTGTGTTACAGAGTATTTGCGATTAAAGAAAAAATAAGTTTAAAACGAGTTCATACGCGAAGTGTAAGCTCTCAAAAAGTATAGAGTGTATTTACTATATAGAGACCTTTTTCAAAATTTAGTGAGATTTTTTTTTTAAGGAGTACCTAGTGGAAATTTTTAAGATTTTGGGCTCCAAATCAGGGCCGGCCCAAACTACGGGTGGACCGGACACCAACCCGAGGCGCGGAAAAATAGGGGACGCATTATATTTATGAGTACCACTGCAAAGTTATTATTTAATGATCTTATTTCATTTTTAAAATTTCCTTATTCAAAATATTGCAAATTAAAATTATTTCTATTTATAAAAATGCAAATCTGGGTCGTAAAAGTTATTAAGTAATACATTTTTTGCTGAATTGAAAGCATTAAAGTGTTGCGTTTCAAAATTTATTTTTTGTTTAGCCGTTAGAAAAAAGAATTAATTTTAGAATGATCTCTTAATAAAATTGCATCTCTTAAAAAAAATGCACAACTTATTTTCGTATTAAATTGATTAATTTAAGAGTCCATCATGTCTGCAAATAAACCATCGGGTGCAGCAAACGGAAAAAGACAATTTGAATTTAAACGAGAAAATGAAGTTTTTTACGAAATATTTTCGAGTCCAAGCAAAGTGAAGAAATTGGTTGCCCTTAGAATCTCACCTAACAAATGTTATTGCATTTCCACGAGATCATAACAATCGTTGTTTTTTGAAATCATTAATGTACAGAAAACTAAATAACGGTAAATCTTATTTGCGAACCTCATTATTATATTCATCAAGTTCTGATAAAGTGTTTTGTGTTTGTTGTAAACTTTATTTTTCAGATAAAATAAAATGATCATAAGCAACTGTTGGAATCAATAACTGGAAACACATTACTAAATTTATAAAATTGCATGAAAATTCACCCGAACATATAAAGTGTTTTGGTAATTGGTTTGAAGCTAGTTGTATTCTGCAATCTTTAATTATCAGAGAAAGAGATCACTGGCGCCTTGTGTTAGATCGCATGCGCAACATAATTTTGTACCTTTCGAAAAATAACTTATCTTTTCGTGGTTCTTCAGGCAGATTATTTACTTCTGAAAATGGAAATTTTTTGGGTTTAGTGGAACTGTTGAGCAAATACGACGCAACTTTAAAAGAGCATTTACGACGCATTACTTCTAAAGAATCTCATGTAAATTATTGCGGAAAAAAAAATTCAAAACGAGTTAATTTCTTTATTGGCATCCAGAATTAAAGAAAATATTTTAAGACGAGCTAGAGATGCAAAATATTTTAGTATAATTCTAGACTGCACCCCTGATGTCAGCCATACTGAACAACTCTCCTTTACATTAAGATTTGTTGTTATTTCAAGCGATGAGATAGAGATTAAAGAACATTTTTTAACTTATCAAACTTTTGAAAATCCCACTGGACAATCTTTATTTGAAATTTTGCAAAAGTTGTTGGAAGATCTAAATTTAAATATATTGAATTGTAGAGGACAAGGATATGATAATGGTGCAAATATGAAGGGCAAAAATAAAGGCGTACAAGCTCGAATTTGTGAAATAAATCCAAGAGCTTTTTTTATGCCTTGTGGATGACACTCTCTAAATTTAGTTATAAAAGACTGTACAACATCTTGTACTGAGTCTATATCATTTTTCGGAATTGCCCAACGAATATATACACTGTTTTCAGCTTCAGTATCGAGAACATACTGAATAATCATGTATCCAATTTTAGTATTAAATCTTTTAGTGAAACTCGATGGGAAAGTCGAATTGAATGTTTAAAACCAATACGGTACCAAATAGTGGAAATTTACAATGCTTTAGTAACTTTGAGTGAAACAGACTCTTCTGATATTTACATTAAACACGAGGCTTATACATTATCTGAACAGACAAGCACTTTTTATTTTTTTGGTAATGCTTGTTACCGTGTAAATACTGTTAGCAAATCTATGCAATCTGCAGCCATGGATATAGCCTCAATAGTTTCACTTATGAAATCATATATAGAATTTGTGACAGAATATAGGATAATTGGTTTTAAAAGTTCTCTACTGGATGCAAAAGAGCTGGCTGAATCTTTGGAAGTTGAACCAATTTTTATTGAAAAAAGGTTACGCCGTAAAAAAGCAAACATTTTGCTTATGAGGGTAGAGATGAGATTGTAGTAAGTCCAAAGAACAATTTTAAGAACAACGTCTTTAATGTTATTTTAGATAATGCCATTGCATCTCTTCAAGAAAGATTTCAACAACTGAATGAATTTCACCAAACTCCGGGAATATTATATTATCTGAAGAAATTACCTGCGGACGATGACTTACTTAAGTTTTGCAAAGATCTGCATTTGAAATTAAAAATGGAAAATAATTGCGATATTAATAGTGCAGAATAATTTGACGAATTAAAATCGGCATCCACCCTTTTGCCTAAAGATATTTTTGGACGTATCTTATCTTAGTGAGATAAAAAAATTTCTTTTTAAAAATGAAAAAAATAAAAACTGTAAACAAATTAGACTCCTCCACATTAATATAAGAAGTTGATGTAAAAATTTTGAAAAATTTCGACATTTTTTAGAAGAAAATGAAAACATCTTTGATATTATTTGTTTAACAGAAATTTGGTGTCTGCCGAATGATATAAAAAATAATTATAATTTTTGATTTTGAAAGAATTTCATTAGAGAGACAAACAAATAAACGTGGTGGAGGAGTTCTGATTTATATAGATACCTTTGTACATTGTATTAGGAATGATTTGAGCGTTTCTGTCGGCGATGGAGAAATCGTAACAATTGAAATTTTTAACAAAGCGAAAAAAAACAATATTCTCTTAAGCTGTTGTTACAGGCCACCTGATGGTGCGTCTGAAAATTTTAGCTTAAATTTAACAACAAAAAATAATTAAGAAAGGAAACTATTCAAAGAAAAAATATTATATAATAGGAGACTTAATATAAATTATTTACTTTTCAATTATGACAACAAAGTAACAAAATTTTATGATTAAATAATTACAACGGGAGCAATATCGCTGATAAATCGTCCAACTAGGGTAATACGAAACTCATCAACTCTTATTGATTATATTGTTACAACAGACATTTTCAATTACAGCATTCAAACAGGTATTGTAAAAGCTAATTTATCAGACCATTTTCCTATTTTCTTAACATTTAATGCCGGCTCAACGCATACTCACGGTCATTCAGACTTACTAAATAAGTGGAAAGTTATTATACGCAAGCGCAGCAAAGTTTACATATTTTAAAAGTTTTAAAAATGGCTACGGATAACGAATATAAAAAAAATTCTCATTGACAACGAGCTATTTTTCTAATTTTTAGCAATTAAATATGCATTTAGCCGTTTATTAAAAGGAAATTATAATAAAAGTAACTTCTAGTACACGATAAAATGTTTCAAATTAAATATAAAACCTCTAAAAACGAATAAAATGTAATTACAGCAATAGCTTTTTTAGTGTGTTTTGTTTATCGTTTTCAAATTGTTTTTAAAAAAATTTTGAGCGTAGAAATTTTTAAAATTTAACTTTTTCAGATAGATGAACTGTTGATCTTTCTTAGAATGTTTACTGATATTAGTATTCAATTTTTTTTCAAGATTAAAAGATATTTTTTTAACATTAACTTTTAGTAAGCTGTTGCTAGGCTACCCTATAATCATAATACATAATTACCTTGATGTGAGTATATATATATATATATATATATATATATATATATATATATATATATATATATATATATATATATATATATATATATATATATACATACATATATATATATATATATATATATATATATATATATATATATATATATATATATATATATATATATATATATATATATATATATATATATATATATATATATATATATATATATATATATGTAAAAGTTGATTATAATAAAAAGATAGCGTATAACCATTTTAAAATATATTTAGATGTAAAAATATATTAACAATAGTATATTTTAACTTCTATATATATATATATATATATATATATATATATATATATATATATATATATATATATATATATATATATATATACATATATATATTGTATAACAAGAAATGACTTTTAAGGATATATATATATATATATATATATATATATATATATATATATATATATATACATATATATATATATATACATATATATATATATATATAGTATAACAAGAAATAACTTTTAAGGATATATGTATATATATATATATATATCGTATAACAAGAAATGACTTTTAAAGATATATGTGTGTATATATATATATATATATATATATATATATATATATATATATATATATATATATATATATATATATATATATATATATATATATAAAGTTAAAATATACTATTGTTAATATATTTTTACATCTAAATATATTTTAAAATGGTTATACACTATCTTTTTATTATAATCAACTGTTAGTGTATTTTAAAAATAGAGTGCTATAACAGAGACAAAGTTAGATGTATTTTTGCTAATTTATTAAAATAAACAAAAACACAACTAATTTTGTCTTTGACAGGCAGGCAGGATTGTTTTTATTAATACATACATACATAATAGATGTATGTATATTTTATTAATTATTTTAGCATATATTACATGCATATTTAAATATGTATGTAATATATGCATGGATGCAAAATAGGTATTTGCAGTTATTGTGGTTAAAAAGTCAATGGAGATATAAACTAATAAAAAACAAAACAAATTTCTACATTCTATAAATATATAGTTTAAACACTCCTAGTCATAACTAAAGTGTATATATATATATATATATATATATATATATATATATATATATATATATATATATATATATATTATATATATATTACATATATATATATATATATATATATATATATATGTATATATAATATATATATATACATATATATATGTATATATATATATATATATACATATATATACATATATATATATATACATATATATATATGTATATATATACATATATATACATATATATACATATATATATACATATATATATATATTATATATATATATATATATATATATATATATATATATATATATATATATATATATATATATATATATATATATATATATATATATATAATATATATACATATATATTTATAAATTTCAATACGTATGTACGTTAGACCCATGGAAGTCGGCCTAACATACAATTTTTAATATATTTACTTTTTGTTTTTGTTAAAATCATTTCATATTTTAATACATTCGAATTTTAAAAGTTTTTTCCATTTCTAACTATTTATTGCTAAAATAATTAATAAAATACCTTATAATATTTTTTTAGTATTTAAATGAGCAAAGTTTGATCAAATCGAGGGGGCTGTTGATTTTATATGGTCATAACTTTTAGGCACAATAATACAAATAAATTAAATTGAAAAACTGAAGGTTTATTTAGTAATAGATAGAGAAACTAAGCATTTTATCAAGTCATTGTCATCATGTTTTGGCAGAGGCAGTTAGCTTGTAGGGGAATTTTTGTTAACAATTCATGAAATTTTTTGCAAAACATTTAGAATTGACCAAAGCATGACCATAATTAAATTTAGTTAAAAAAAAAAAATTTTAATGTATCTTGAAATTTCTAAGACAACTTCATGTTATTAGAGTAATAACATTCTAATAATGTTATTACTCAAGATTGTGAAAATTTATAATGATATGACCTTGAGCTAATTTCATTATTAACTATTAATAAAAGCAGGTTGATTTGATTCTAATAAATAGAGATTTTTTGAGTCAAGTCTTGAATCGCTTATTTGATTTGATTCAAAATATTTAGGCTTAGCAGGGGCCTAATATATATATATATATATATATTATATATATATATATATATATATATATATATATATATATATATATATATATATATATATATATATATATCCACGACATGATATTAAATTAGTTTTTTGAGGTAGGTAAGATTTTTTAGGCCTTAAATTAGAGCACACATTGTTTTTGTCGCGATTTTTTTATAAAACATTAAATTCAAAATCAACTAAATCGAAAACTAAAATGCTTTTATTTTTATTTTTTTAATACAAGTAAAATCTATATGCATTATGAAAATCCAAAAAAAGATCTAAACATATTGATTTAGATACCAAAAAAAAAAAAAATAATTAAACATTTTATCTTAATTTAAAAAAACAATCGGACTAAAGTTATGTATATATTTCAAATAATATATTAAAACAATAATTTACCAAAGAAAAACCATAAAAAAAGCATTTCAATATTTTGCAGATCCACCTTTCTTAAATAAGGATTGAAGAAAGCAATTATCTAAAATTTCAATGTTTTTATCAGCATTAAGTCAACCTTCAAATAATTAATAGCATTTAAGTCCTGCATAATTCATGTAGGCCCAAAAGTCTACACTGCCATTACCTTGCTTGGTTGGTTTTCATGTACAATTCAAATCAAATTACTCTTGAGGTGATCGCCATAGCAGAACACGAAGCAATAACATATTTTTGCATATCTACCTCAACATTCATTTTGTCTGAGAATATAACATTTCACCACTTGCTGTCGTGTTTCATCAAGCAAATTAATTTTATTAATTAAAAACGTTTATCTTATTGTGTTGCCCACCAGATTATCCAGATCCATAATGTCATCTGTTTCAATATAAGGTTTTCAAATATGCGAATATTCAATATTTAACTTATTGGCTATTTGACGAGGAGATAATACTTGGTTTTAAATAAAAATAGATTTGTAACATGTTTTTTCAGAGAATCTCAACCATGATTTTGGAGTTTCATGCTGTATTACTTCACTCGTTATGAGGCTTTTTCAATATCTAATTTCTTTGTGTTTTCATCAGTACTATTTCAAAATTAGAAATTTAGAGTTAACAAATGCTAATGAAAATTAAATTAAATTATTAAAAAAAATATTACATTAATTTTAAAAATAAAGCAGTAAGCATTAATTTTTAACGAACAAAAAAAATTTTAAAAAATATAGTCGATGCTATAAAGTTACATATAATTAGGGATACAAATGAAATTTTATGGTAACAACTTGTCCATTAAATAAAAAACATGATACTTATAAATTAGAAATAATAAAATATTTAAAAAGCTAACTAGTTTTTAAAGTAATTTTAAGCAAATATATATATATATATATATATATATATATATATATATATATATATATATATATATATATATATATTTGCTTAAAATATATATATATATATATTTGCTTAAATTTTAAGCAATATATATATATATATATATATATATATATATATATATATATATATATATATATATATATATA